GTTGGTGCTGATAGTGCTTTCGATGTCCGTGTTGGTGTGTCACATGCTCCGCCTCTGCCTACTGAGTGAGCGCTGCAGGGTATTGCAAGAATCTAGAAGAAAGAAGGCCAGCTGAAAGTTTTAGGTTGGATTCTTGCTTATGCCAAATGCATGTGGCACTGGAAGCAGAGAGGCTACCTTTAGACTCATTCTCCCGGTCCATGTTGTCGTGCCGTGCCATAACCCTCAGCGTCCTGCACTGGTGTGGCTTCCAGCTGGGGGCCCACTGCAGCAGGGAGCGTGGAGGAGCTCCCTGCCAGCTCTGCGGTTCCTCGGCACCGCGAGGGGACTCCCTGCCTGACTGCATCCTTTGAACTAACACAGAGAGGGTATTCTGCAGGGCGGGAGGGGGAGGAGGCAGCCTGGCACCTTACGGTTTCTACAGGTAAACTTTTAAGGAACCATCATAGTCCACCCTTATTAAACTCCAACTGCAAATGGTGCTTTCAGTTTGCAAGCAGCTCTGAACACAGTTTTGCCAGTGTCGATGGCTGCAAATCTATAGTTTCGGTTTGGTCAAGTGAGAAATGGCCCATTGTTTGCACTCAAGAGCAATCATGATTTTCTTCCTGAAGAGTTTTCTTGTTGAAGCACCAGAGCCTTCCCTCCCCCTTCCCTCCCTGGTGACCTGGAATTTTCCAGAGATTGCGGTAGGGTCACAGAGTGGCTTTTGAGCCAAAGGCACGAAGGGAAAAAATGAACACTTGAATAAATGACTTGTGTAGCACAGGTTCAAATAGTGAAAAAATTGGGACTTGTCTGGCTAGGAAGCCAATCTAAGCTTGCTACCTGCATTGCCTGGAGACAACTTGGCTTGCTCCCTTTTCAGTGAATGTTGTTATTGCAACAATATGCTCATGCTTCTTTATGCTTAGCTGAGGCCCTTCAGGTCACCTCCTGGGCTTGGGTCCCTAGTAGCTAGACTGCCTCAGGCCAGCGCTATAGAGCAGAACCGAGGTGGAGTTCAAACTGGCAAGTATTTTCTCAAGGGCTCTGAAACTGAGTTTGGGATTCCACCGTCTTGCTCTTGCCTTATGGTCGCCTTTGCTTAATCCCACTCAGTAAAGCATTCAAGTAAAATCCAGCTGAGATATAGCACTACTTAACAGCTGGGCCAGGTGTTAAGCCATTATACCCTGTACTCCTTCAATTAGCTTTACAATAAAGGGAGAGGGATCATCATACTATAAACTTAAGTCTTTTTTATAGTGCTAACAGGCTCAGAAAAGTTATCTGGAAGTGCTCTTTATCTCTAAAGGCTGAATGAATTGCTAACTGCAGAGTGCTTGTCTTGTTAATAAAATGCATCCTTCATTCAAGTGATTGATCAGAGTAGTTATAGTGCGGGTAGTTCCTGCTTTTAAAAGCGCCTTTAAACAGTTGTCTATAATTAAAAAAAAAGAGCAGTTAAGGTTAAGATCAACAAACTATTATCTGTTAGGATTATTCATGGAATATGACCCTGTAAATATGCCAGCAGCCCTAAATTCCAAATTTAGAAGAGCCGCGTAACTGGAAGAATGAAATTACAGAGAACTGTTTCTAAAGGAAGCACTGAAAATCTGAAATGGTGGCTTTTTTTTTAAGACCCACTGTTTATGTTGTTCAAGTCTGAGGAAATAGGAAATATCTAGGAAAGAGTTATTTATGGGGCATTTGATTTTGTTTCCCATGGTGTTATTTCTCAATTGTTTGACTTGCATGTTTTTGTATTTGCTTTTCCTAAAAAAAGAAAAGGTAGGTTTATTATAGCGAAATGCAGTTTCAGTAGGTAACAGACATTAAAGATTCATCTGTTGAATCCACAGCAATGCTCAAAGCCGAGGTGTTCTACTTACACGTTTGGTTGTTGCTAAATTGCTTCTACTACTTGTCATTTCCGTTTAACAGTCCCTTATGCTGAAATTCTGTGAGTTCCATCACCCTTCATGGCAGGATCCATCCTTATCTATTTATTTTTAATAACGTAACACCTTTGGACTTATTCCTTTCACTCTGGAAAAATTGAAACTTCATTACAATGTAATTAGAAAGGGAATTTCCTGTGCATGTGTTTTTATTAAAAGGCAAGAGGCATCTATTTAATCGGAATAGCAGCGCCAGCTGAGTTCATTGTACAAATAAAACATTTCACAAAAAGTTGTCGAGTTTGATACGTTGCTAATTTCAGGGTCATTAAATATAGTTAAAGGGTACAATTGCCATAACAGGCCAAAGCTTACAATATTGGACTTCCCTGTCCCATATTTTCTTTTCTTTTTTTTTTTTTAAATCTTTGGGAAATGTTTTTCTACAAGCTTTTAGTAGCAAGAGCAAGTAAGAACTGCCAAACTAATGTAATGCCTGTGTCAAACTCAGAAAAAAAAAAAAGATAAGATCTACAAGGATACTTAATTAAAAAAGAATGTGATCTCTGTTTTATAAATCATTGCAGCCATCAGCCCCACAAATGTGAAGCAAGAAAAAATTCTCTCGTGAAAGTGATGAAGGAAAGAACATAAAATCCTCAAGCCTGGAAGTGAATTAAACAGAGCCTACTGAATTTCTGTTTTTACAAGTACAGGCTGCAGCCTAAAACAGCACCAAATGCCAGCTTTCCTTACCTGGCAATAAGAAACACGAAAGAAGGCTTTCGCATTGCATAAAGGCAGGCAGTGTGCGGAGCAGCACCACTTCCAACCATGCCGCGAGCCTGCCACGGTGTGTCCAGAAGCGCCAGCTCATCAGAAAAATCGCCTTCTGGGTCAAGTCAGCGAGCGCGCGCGTACGGCGAACAAGTGTCATAACTAATGAGCGATTCTTCACACTTTCATCACGCGCTGCCCAAATAACGACATGAGGGATTCCTGGCAGGCGTTACGACATGGGGATTTATTTGAAGGCTTTACAGCCAGCTCCCAGCGCCAGGCCCGGTACGGCCCCTCCGAAAGGCCGCGGCCAGCGAGGGCCGG